TTTTCAATATTATTTATGGTCTCATTTAGACAATTTACACTGTTTCTGGACTTAATAAACACTCTCAGGATGCGTTAAATTAAAACTCATGTTTATTTCAATGTAATTTCCTTACATTGTTTAGATGGCGATATTTGTTTCATTTTAAGTCACCATTGTGGTGATCAGTGTTTGCTTTAGTTGGGCTCTTGGTCCCAATTTTTCGTACTTTAACTTTTCTTTGGCTGTTGTAACTGTGTGTTTGAATAACACCATTGTTGTGGCAGAGAAAGCAGAAAGCCAAGAAAATTTAAAATTGGCTGTCATCAGCTCCTTGTTGTTGATGATGATGATGATGAAATCAACATAAAGTGGGCATTTAACGTTGTGTTTAGACTTTTGTGTTTATATCTGGAGTTTATAACCACCAACCTTGTGGACCTGCATTATTTGGGCTAGTAGCATGGGAGGTGGACAAAAAGCAAGTTTAAACAATGTTTTGAGAAAATGTACCATATAGTCACACACAGACATCAAGATGTTGCATATGATTCACAACAATGGTGACAATAATTAAATATGCTTCATGCTGCAATGCATTTTTGCAGATTTTTTGTTTTGGATATTACCATTTTTGTGAATCATATCCAAAATCTTGATATCTGTGTGTGACCATGTGATTCACTTACATAAAGTATTTTAACACAGTGATCATGATTTAAAGTTACTCATCCAAATAATGCAGTTCCAGTGGTGGTTATAAAAATCAGATATAAAGACAAAAGTTTAAATGCTGTTTAGTGCTTGCATTGAGTTTATCATCATCAACAAGCAGCTGAAGACAGCTGATTTTTAATTTTCTTGGCTTTCCCTGCACAAACAATGGTGTTATACAAACACAATTACAACAGCCAAGAACACGTCACAAAAAGACGTCTTAAAAAACGTTCCTTCCGGTCCCTCAGTGGACGTCTTTTCAACGTCCGACTTTTGTGACAAATATGTTGAAAAGATGTGTTTTGGACATCATTTGCTTAGTGGGAGTTTGATGATGCACAAACCTTCTAATGCCCAGCAAGCTCCAAGAACTGTCTTACCTGTTGTTTGAATATGCTGGAGATCCCACTGCACAATCATTACTTCATATAAGGTAAGAAGCTGCATTTGATGAGTGGGTACACTGGCTTTATTCAAGCACCACAGAATCAAGTAAAAAAAAAAACAGACAGGAACACGAGGAACCCAGTCAGGGTCTGGTGGGACGGGAGGAGCAGCACTCGAGCACTCGGTGGTAGGGGAACCGTGTCTCCATGCAATGATGAGGGAACCACCCCACTCTGGAGACAGGGACCCCTGCTGAAAAATCCAGCTAAAACCAGCCAAGGCTGGTTGGCTGGTTTTGGCTGGTCTCCCAGCCTGGTTAGTTGGTTTATCAGGCTGGTTTTAGAGGGGTTTTGAACACTTTTTCAGCTGGTCAGGCTGGTCTTAGCTGGTCAAGTTGGTAGCCAGGCTGGGAGACCAGCTTATCCAGCTAAGCCAGGCTGGGTGACCAACTAAAACCAGCTTCTTCCAGCTTAAACCAGCTAAGACCAGCCAACCAGCCTAGGTTGGTTTTAGCTGGATTTTTCAGCAGGGACAGTGGTGAGACACGGCAACAGAGTGATGCTTTGGCAATGAGACGGAGGCGAGTATTACAGCCTCCAGACGCGAGGAGACTACAGCTGAGCAAGAAAACTGGCTCGCGGTGGATGAGAAACCCAGGGAAGATAAAGGGTGGAAATGGAGAAGGAAGGATGGCGAGGGAGAGGGCAGTGGAAGAGAGCAAACGACCTATTGTATTTCTATCTCCAATTGTCGTTCCATCAGATTATGATGGGGTGCTTGGAATAGCATTTCCCAATGGATCCTTTGTATCAACAATTGGTAAATGGACTGCATTTATATGGCGCTATCACAGACCCAATGGCCACCAAAGCGCTTTACATATTGCCTCACAGTTGTCTCAATTGAGTTGTATCCTTCTTTTGTCTGAGTGTCCAATTCATTATTGACAAATAGGGATAGACCATCAATAGTCTGCACTTGCCCAAAGACATGCTTCAAGGACTCATCCCGTGACAGCTGTGAAGAGAAATCCCCAAGGGCGAGAAAAGGTTCACTCCCCGACGCCGGCCAGTACGAGCTGTGTGTGTAAACCTCACTATCCTGGCATGCTAGCGACTGACGCTGCGCTCTTTAGCCTCCTTGTTTGCGCCCACCTCCCATTCCAGAGACCCTGGTTCAGAGTCCTGCTCGGAGCAGACCGACTAGGACCGGTAACACAAGAACCCCCCCGCACATATAACCTTTAATAGTGTTTCAAAATCTGGGCATTTCGTACCTGAGGTCTGGGTGGAGATTAGCCGGGTGTGCTTGGTGACAGGTGAAAAACAGGTGAACGTTGTTGCTCTGGACTAAGCTCAAACTTTTGATAAATTAGCAAACATGTTTGATATCCTTAAGCTGAACAGAATCAAATGCGGAAGCTAAAAAGCCATGGTTTGTGCCCATCATACACTACTTGATTTTCTGTGAAATCTTTCCATTCTGACGGCCTACAATCTGAAAACTAGCCTTGACTTTACAGCAACTATTGTTGACTCGTCCAGACAGCAAACTTGGGCAAAAATGGGGACTAAAGGTTAGCTTAGTCTTTCAATAGAAACAATTTCAGTTTCACAAACAGAATTAATCACAGTTCTGCTCATGACTCTCTAGTGTACTTGCTTCTTAAGTGCCTCGGATATCATATTAGCTTTTTTCCAAACGGACTGACAGAACCCTTACACAACATTTTAATGCTGGTTTGTGTGATGTGTGCACATTCAAGCTGTTAGAAGTGTCATCCACACAAAATATACACCAATTATTTCCAGAAACATTGAATGGAGGCTCATATTGTGCAGTTGTTTGGGTTGTGCGTTTTGTGTTATGCCTTTTTATTGAGAGCTTTTTTTGTTGATTTGGAATAACCGATGGATTTATAGATAAAGAATTTGTCTGGATTTTTACACTTTTTGAAAGTACCTTTATTTTTTTTTGTCTGATGAAGCTAAAGCTCCAGGAGACCTGAATTTCAGCTATTCTGATGGTTTTCTAGTAGGTTTAACATATAAGTCTCGTTTGGAAAGAACTGCTGAATAACATCTGTCCACACAAACTCCACACTTTCACCCATTTGTCTCTCTTTCCTCAGGGAAAGGTCAGAGAGATTCCCAGCTCAGACTAATGAGATCCTCGGACAGGTCGCGAGTCGTCAGCATAGCGCGTGCTTCACGTTTTCTCTTCATCCCGTCCAAATCATTATTCCCTGTTATTGGAAAAACTCTTGAACGTGCCTTTATTTCCATGTGTGTGTCTATAATAAGCAGCTGGTGCTTGTTTTGTTGGCTGCCACAAAGACTTTTGTGATAAAGCAGAGGGAGTCTCAGCTACCCATAATGCCTCTGGAGCCCGCTGCTTTGTGAGGGCACGTAATTGCCGTCTCCAGATCTCTGGAGTTCATCTGGACTAATGCTTTTCCATTCCTCGACCCATTGTTGCCTCCGGCACTCGTCCCGCTGGCACGACTCTCTGCTCCTCCTTCACTGCTCTTTCTCGCTTGATCGAGGATATAGACGTCTGTATCGGGGACTACATCTGTACTCTCAGAGGACAATCCTGAGGGCAAGGGCTTTTATTACCTGTTAAGGCACCATATAAAGAGGCTTCAGGAAAACATGTCTATTCCCATCTAAAACTGAAATGAACCGTGCACATTGTGAGGAATATAAAAATACAGTGGCACGAAAGTCACTCTTCTGCAGGGTCTTTTCTAATCACCCAACATGACTTTTTCATGAAGTCTCAACGTGTCTGAATCAGCTGGCGATCTTTAGTGGATGTCTGAAGTGAGTTAATACACTCACGGCAAACACAACACTGACTGTCTTCATGTTCAACACTACATCTATTGTTTTAGCAGTTCAAACCCAACAAAGTCCTTTCTTTCCCATCAACACCACTAGCTTTGATATTGTGTTATGTAATGCAATCATACAAATATCACTCCTCGAAAGAAGCTCAGGAGAGACTCGTCCAGGCTGATCTAGCATCACTACACACAAATAAACCGAAAAATACTTAGTGTCCGTCCTTCAATTAGATTAAGCACCTAATAGGCATAAAAATACATAGCACATTCTGTGGATAATGTGATTATTGACAGAATTTCTGTTTTAACAAGCTAGATATTTTCAAATGAGTGAAATGCCAAGGCATGATGGTCAGATTGTTTCTCACACGGGCCGCCGGCTGCCCTTATCAATCAACCTTGCATTTCTCTAAATAGCTTTCAATAGAGGGAAGTTCATTTAAAGCAGAACAGATGGAAATGTCTCTTATATATAATCACTAGGGCTGAGGATCACAGGAGCTGATGACGGGAGTATTTCGCATCCGCACAGACACCTGAGGAACGTGATTGCACGAGAAACTGTGTGGATTGTCTAATGAAATCCTTCTCAAGGACGCACTTCCCCAGGAGTCGGCAGGTTATTAAAGACGTAACTGTGCTGACAAGCACAGAGGAAATGAGAACGTAATAAAAGAAACTATTAATATATGAAATAACACATGAATATTATCCATAAAGTTCAGAAGTAATGGGTGTGAAAGCGTTTCCCTGGAGCTCATGGTGGAAGACGGAGGGAATGGCTCTGTTCTCAAACCTGTGAGCGGCCTATACTTAGAAAGCATTTTAAGATATGAAAGGAGACTAAAGATTAAAATACACTCCTACCTTCTGAAATACTTCTGGTGGTTCAACTTCCAACCCAGCATCATGTAACCTTCTCATTGCAAAGACAAACACCTGCCCTGCCCAATATGGCGGACAAAATGTGAACTACAAATACACCTGGAATTCACTGCAGAAATACAATGTTTTAAACTAAAATTGGCCATGTGTTTCATATGTTTCTTCTGTTTATGAAATTAGATCCAAAAGACGAGGATCACACATCAGCACACAGACTGAATGGCGTTCTGGATCAGCGTTCCTGAGAAGTGTGTGTTTCGCAGTCATTCGACTCCAGTCATAATCAAGGTTAGCGCTTACTCAATGCTTTTATTCACCATTACTTGAAGAAGAATGTATGAGTTCACGCTCTAGTACATGTTTATTTGGCAAGTTAATTTGTATAGTATTTTTCAAAGCACACATAGTTACAGAAAGTCATACTATATGTCTTTAATTCTTTAATGCTTTTGTATAATTTTAGATGGTGTAAAGATTTAGTATATGTAGTCAGATTACATGTAGTATATGTGTAGTTAGACTTTCATTGGATTAGCTGTGTAGGTTTATACTTGTTCAAATATGTAGCACTGTGGTCTTACGAGTCATGACATTTCGTTTCACTGTATGTCAACAAATATAGCAGACTGACAATAAAGCTCACATGACTTGAATCTAGCTATGTTGTATTTACAGTGATGCCTATATTAGACTCAGACACAAGTCTGAATGTTAAAGCAATTAAGAGATTTGGTTGGTTTTGTTCAATGAGGGACTTATTGACAAACAGGAATACCACAAAAATAAACAGGTAACAAAGGCCTGGTTTCACAGACAGGGTTTAGATTAAGCCAGGATTGGGCCTTATGTTAATTGGGATATTTAAGAAGCTTTCTTAGAAAAAAAAACATTACTGGTACTGGTTATCCTCAGACAAAGCAATGACTAGTATTTTTCTTTGTTTTCATGTCTCTAAAAGTTTTTATTTCGCAGTGTACACAAGCTCTTTTTAACTGATTTGTGCAGAGATCCTTTGAAATGATTCTCCAGTGTGAATTTTTACTTTGTTAAACCTTCAGATTACACTGATTGTTAGAAGAGGGAACAAAAGAAATTACAACGGTTAAATTATATATTTCAATAAATCACGTCTTCTTTCATTGTGTGTGTTTTACCGTGATTAGGGTCATCATGCGCGCTCTGATTGGTCTGTGGCGACAGGAACTGATTATTTGCTATTCTACCCTGACATAATGTTCAAGCTTATCAGTGCTAGTGACAAACGTGGAGAAGTAAAGGCTGAGGCTTTCATTTCAATTAGTAATATCCCTGATTTCAAGCAGAATTATAAGGTGATCCGTTCCTTACTTTTGTTGAACATCGCTAATATGGTGGTAAAGTTTGTTCATGGTCCACCATTGGAGCTGCTGAAGGCCAACGGTAACACTTTACAATGCGGGTGCACTTTATGCTTAACTAATGCACAGATAATAGTGAATTAATGTGTAACTTATGATTATCTAAGCTCTTCATTAATGATTACCACATTAGGAACTAATTAAGAGTCTGTAGGGTTAATGTATTAGTTCATACATTAATTGTTATTAATTAAATATGTAATATGCATTTTTTTAACTAATAGTGTTAATTAATATGTTAATTACCAGAATGAGCCAGAGCCTTGTATTTCAACTTCCAGATAATATGACAGGTAGACTAATATGCATTAATACATGATTAATTACTTTATTGTTAGTTGAAATGCATGTACACATTACTACAATTACAAAATGACTAGTTAATAATGATGTGCCCCAACAAGTAAAGTCACAACATAATGCTATCTTTGCAAATCATTAGCTAATGATTAATTAAAGCAGACAACTGGAAGTTGAAGTGCATAGCTTTGAATAATTGTTCTAATTAACAAATTAATTTACACTATTAGTTAATAAAATATGTTATTAAGGAATTAATACACAATGACAAATTGAATTAATAGCAATTCATGTATTACTTAATCTATTAATCATATTGACTCTTTATTAGTTGCTGATGCAGTAATCATTAATTAATGGTTTAGTTCTTCATGAGTCATACATTAACTCATGATTATCTGTGCATTAGTTAAGCATGAATTAAAGCATATTAGTGCACCCGTATTGTAAAGTGTTACCTGATCATCTCTCAATAATTGGAGTGCCCTTGGATTGTGAGTCTGGATTTCGATCATGAGTGAGGTAATGAATACAAAAATCTTTCAGAGTATCTGAAAAACTAGAGTCACATTTGTTAAATATGGATGATGATGATCTGATGATGATCTGATTGTGGCAGGATGGGTTATGACCCCTCCTACTTGTTTGTGGTTTGGCCAATGGCCGGTCACCTGTTGCGTATAAGAGCACGGGCTATACCAGTTGGGTTGAATGGGTTGCCCGTAAACACTGCTGAAGCTGCTATCTAATGGCTGTGATGTCTACTGAGTGTGTGTGCTTCCCGTAGAGTCAGGTGTGGACAATTGAGACAGTGTACGATCATCTGCGTTCCGGCCAATGAGACATTTGGCTCTATCCACCGCATAGCTTGCGATTGGTGATCCACAGACAGCATGTTTGAAATAGCGGCGTTCTGAATGAGTATTACGTGCTGTGCCTCATCCTATAAAGTGCTGATTGCTCCAACGTCTTGCTTCATTAATGACTGCTGTTCTGTTTCCACTGAGTTTCCCCGCATCTAGCACAGCGCTGAGACGCTTCCAGTGGTTTTATTTTAAAGTGACCTTCCTGGGCTTAGGATCACTGAGGAAGTGTGATATGCATAGTGTTTGTGTTTTTGATTGCGATGACTGGATGATGAGCAAATGGTTGGTCCCTTCTGGGGATTATATTAATTTGTTGTATTTTGTTTTCTGTGCACATCAATGGTCTCTCTTACTGTCTTCTCTTCATTTATCGGCAGGACCTGGGGGTCAGACGAGTGATCTTTTGGTGGCGGCATCCTCGCTGTGTGTTGTGGTCTTCTCTGACATGAGTTGTTGTGTGTGTGTGCACCGTGAATAGAGTGACTTTCTAAGGGTGATATCTTGAGACTGCCCCTCGCTCAATCGCGAGTTACTGTCAGTACTATTAGTTACTACAGTCTACAGTTTGCTAGCTTGCTATGCCTTTGACAAGAATATGCATAGGCTACTACCTGGATGCGATCATGTACAAAACAGATCGGTGTCTTTATTTAAATTCCCTAAAAGCGATCACATCAAGAAGAGGTGGATTAATTTTGTGGAGAGCCAACCTTGATGAAGAGCTGAGGATCACCGACAGCAACACCCGCCTCTGTAGTGATCATTTTACACAGAATCGTTTTATTAACTTTCAACAGTCAATCCCAGAGGCAACTGGGATTCACTGATAATCCGATGCTGCTGGTGAACGGGGCCGAAACGACTATCTCCCGCCTCAGCGTTCATCCTGCCGTTCCGAGAGCAGTTTCACCTAATATCACCGTCAACAGCTTTCCCGCGAGTGGGCGTGGTTTCACAGCGGACACGCCCCCAGCGTTTGAGAACAGAGATAACTGCTCATTTTTTCAAGATTTTGATAGCTTATTTTATGTACTTGCCGGCTTTTTTATCATTCAAATTTGGCTGGGTGGCTAATATCACATTTTTCTGTGATATTAGCCTTAATTTTAGATTAAGATTTCAGAACACATACTTCATTTTTACTTTACAGGGACTTTAACAATTAATAAACTTTTGAACGACTACCATTGTCTCTGATTCATCCATGATTAGGATCTGCGTGTGCCTTTTTGAGTAGAGGTTGTTAAATTCTTGGGGTGAAATTCCTCAGTTGGCGTAGTCGGAGATAGTATCAAATCCATAAATAGTAGAGCTGCCCAAACACACTTTGCCACGTGATGATCTGATGATGATGATGATGATGCCACTGTTTTGCTGCACATGCAGCACCACTGGTTGGATTTCCAGGACAGATATATAAGCCAATGTACTGTATTAATTGCACAAGAACAAGCAGTGGTAACCGACAATCTTACTGGCACAGGTAGAATTATACATCACAAAACAGCAACACCCAAGACATCTTTTGTCTGATAAACAATGTATGTGATGTATGGATATAATCGTGCAGTTGAACTCAACTGAAAACAGAAGCACTACTAGATATGATCAGAAGAATCATTTACACAACACAGTTGCTGTGATGTATCAAGAAAGTAGTGATAGTGATTTGAGGAAACATTCATTCATACTGACCAGCTCAAAGTCTCACATGAGATTGGGACACTTGATTTGATAACATCATTCCTGCTGTCGGCACTGGATTAATGAATGTGAAGTGAGAGTAATCTGTTGGGGTTCAGTGTTATGAAAAATAAATCAAATATGCCACTGTTGGTCAGTGGATGTACAGGATATCGGCAGCATGTACACATGTGTCAGTGAAAAACCACGTAAAGCTGAGCTGTGTATCGCAGTGAACACTACTGCTGCCAGCACTCATTACAACACACCAATGAAACGAATCTCCTGCTGGACAATTGGAGATGCTTCACTCTATTAGACACCCTTGTCAAAAAGTAACTCCAGTCATACAGAAGAGTAATCCAACATAAAACCACTCATATCCCAGCTGCTCTTAAACCAGCTCACACTAGCGGACCACTCAAGCATGACCCTCTCATTTTGAGACATTTCCTCGCTCTCCTCCAGCTCTCAAGGATAAAAAAGCATCATTGCATTGACGCAGAGAGAAAAGGACGGATGGCTGCTCTCGTCCTCTCAGTGCCTCGCTCTATGAATGAGGAGACGGCAGTGTGAAGTGTCCTCAGAGCGGGAGAGCTTTAGGAATGGGCTATCTATCTATCTATCTGTTTGTCATATTGTGCATGGCACACTCGTTTTCTTTAGAATAAGTGATAAGTAGTACATGTCAAAACCATCTGTCAATCAACATTCCACCAGTCATGTTTCTCTGACCAGGGAAAAGATGAAGGTGGGAGGAGTCAGGGCAGATGGGACGGAGCCAGAGCAGAGCAGCAGGAGGATGACCCAGAGCAGAGACATGAAGGTCCACGGTGGAGCCGATGGAGGGAGGAGCCAAGGTGGAGCCAGGGTGGAAAGGCCAAGCGGAACCAGGGAGATGACTGACTGAGGTCATCTGAAGACCTGGAGGGCCACAGCGGAGCTGCAGGCATGACCGAGGTGGAGGCGTGGGCTTGGCAGACAGGGGCGGAGATGGTGGGAGTTAGGACAATGGAGGACCATGAGGGAATGAGGAGGCCAG